TTGAAATATAAGCATGTGAGAATTCTAGAGTGTCTCTCGATTGGTCAAATTCGTGGGGTGGCCAACCCACGCATTGGATTGGTTCAAATCACCCTCGACAAAGCTGAAGCTGACCTAAACGAGAGGGTGAGTTCTGGACTTTCTCTCATTCAATATAATTATATTGTCCCACGTTTTACTGAATTTTATTCTTTTCACGATAATTATTTTAAATACACTATATTTTATATATTATTTTAATTAATCATAAATTTTAATCATTTATTAACAAATTAATATTTAATTTAATTATTTGTATTAATTCAAAATTAATAATATTAATTATATATATATATATTAATAATTATTGATTAATTAATTAATTTTTTTATTATTAATTTATTTATTTATATAATTAATTTATTATATTTTGACGTTAATAATAATACAAATAAATTATTTTTAATTAATTTTGTCTATTAAGTTAACAATGCCTGATGTGTAATATAATTTAAAATGAATTAGTGTTAAATAAAATTAATAAGCAAGTGTTTCAAGTGAAGTGTTAATAAAAAATTGAACTTTACTTGTCATTTAATTACTTTGGACACTAAAATACAGAATGGTAAGAACTTCTAATCCTAGAAAACTGTTTTCGGGCATGTTGCCTGCTTATCTGGCTTAACAGGCGACTAATTCCACAATTCAACAAACTTTGAACATCGAGAGCTTTATCTCTATACTCTCTTCCCAATGAAATCCGAAAAAAAAATTTCCAATTCAGCTCAGCAATAGTGAATATAGAAAAAAAAAATTTTACACACAAAATATCTATTCAAGCTGGAAAATTATTGTCCAAATCACCCCCTCAAAGTAGAGAAAATATAAAATCGATAAAGTATTATTTTACATTTATATTTTTAATTTAGTATGTAATTTTTTATTCTGAAAACTTATTTTTTAAGTTGTTTAAAATTATTATTTTTTTTTAAACAATATTTCGTTAGTAATTTGTTATCATTTGAGTTTAATAATATTTTTTGACGCAAAATAATGAAATTATTGATTAGTAGAGGATAATAATTAATAATAATTAATAGAAGTCTATTGAGGATGAAAATTGAATAATAATTAATAATAATTTTTATGGTAACAATATTATAAATTTATCGACAGTTGGTAAGACCCAAAATTATCATACAGGAAAAAAAGTGGGGTCAGGGACTTTTGTAAGGGCCTGTACTGCCCTTCGGTAGTCATCGAGCATTACGTTCGTGCTTGTCAGGTAGAGGTGTTATAGGTGCGCGAATCAATGTTGAAGGTGATGTAAGAATTGGAAAATTTTTAAAGTTTCTAATGTTTAAATTTCATTATTTTTTTTTATAACTTTTTTAAATTACTTTTTGTTAATAATTGTTATATTATTTTTTATTTATTTTTTTTCATTTCTTTTTAATTATTTATTATTAATTAAAGAAATATAGAATAGCAGTTGGTAAAAAAAATCCTATATGATAATATAAAAATAATAAATCCAATTGCAATTTCTTTTTAAATCGTCGGCTTTTCAAAGTTTAATAAAAAAAAAAAAAGAAAGAAAGGAAACACGGCATTACGTCTAATTCAAGCAACTCAAGAGAATAATAATTCGACTACAACAATCGTTTTAGAGCGAGCTTATACTGCTCGTCCCACCATCCATCCTGATCCAAAGTTAGAACAATGCCGTTAATTTTTGGTTGGTGCTATTGTTCCAGGTATATTCATCTGTCAAGAGCCTTAGACTTCCCGTAACGACGTCTCTGTCTTGGGCAAAGGACTATTAAGTCAAGTACAATGTCCTTCGACAATTTCTGATCGTTCCTTCTTGCGGCTGATGTCCGCATATAAATATCGATCTTTATAAATATATAGTTTCATCATTATCCTTCTTCTCCTTTTTCATTCTAAAGGCTAAAACTATATATTTGTTGGCAAAAAAAAAAAAATTATATATTTGTTAAAAGAGTTGCGATTTGTCGTCAATTATTATTTGTAAAGTACAATTTGAATGCGTGTTATAACTGATGACATCATCACAATGGCGGACACTAATCTGAACGTCAGAAACAGAAGGTGTACCCCAAACCCCATCACCAGTTCTGTACTCTCTGTTGATCTGTCGGTTTTTGGGAACAAAATACGTCAAACGCCCACGTTTCTCCTATATATAGTAGAGTTTCATACATAGAATTCACTTCGAGATAAGCCAAAATACTGGAAATATTTGCTTAGGGAAAATGGAGGCTATAACATAACCTCAAAACTGAAAAACGGTTTTTAACGCAAACAAAACGATAAAAAATTATTTCAAACCCTTTAAAAAATAATTACTGACATAATTATTGGAATAATTACTGGAAGAACTACAGGATTATTTACTGGAAAGTGTAATTATTTTTGTCCCATACATTTGGTAAAAATTGTTGCGCACTAAGTTTTTATAGATTATTATTATTATAATTATAATTATTATTATTATTATTATTATTTTATTGATTTTTTTGTTATAAATATTTTTGGTTGTAAATTAAATTCATAAAAATATATTTAACACAAAATTACAATTTCATTGAATATAATTTTTTTTTTATTAAAAAAATACATCTTGCGAAAAAATTGCTGGAGTTTTCAGTAATTAATTTACTTTTTAGTTTAGTTTTTTAATGAACATAATTGCAAAAGGGTCAAATTAATTTTTTTGAAGTTATAAAATTACTTAATTATTCAAATTAATAATTATCATAACAAAATTTAAAAACTTAATTATTACAAATATATACATTTAATTTGTTTTTTATATAATAATAATAATAATAATAATAATAATAAAATAATATTAATAAAAATAATATTGGTAATACTAATAAAAATAATATGTAATAAAGAATAAAAAAAATTATATATAAAAAATACTTTCTATTATTAAGTAAATAATTTTCATCACTTAAAAATATAAAAAAGGAATTAAAAAAATTTTTCTAACATTAAAAAAAGTGACAAATTCAAATTGAAACTAAATGTATTTGAATATTTTTTTTTTTTTTTTTTAATGTAAACCTTTTTCTTTTTATGTCTCATATGAAAAATTTAATTTCATGAAAAGTGTTATATAGGAGCAGTCACAATTTTTACAGTTGCTTTATATACATATATATATTTGCAATGAAACTATAAGGAAAGAAGGCAAATACCAACATGGTTAAATTTTTTTTTTTTTTTTTTTTTTTTTTGCAAAACAAAGCATTACTCACATAAACGAGGTTGCATTTTAATTAAAGCTTCGACCGTGGTTAACGCCGCAACGAGCCCATATAGAAGCTAATTAAAAATGCAGGCGGCTGTGGACTTCCGATTGTAAATGCAGAGGGTTGCTACCTATCTGGGGCTACATTTAGTAACTCCTTTGACTATGTTACCCGACCGACACTGATGCATTCAACAAAAAAAAAGAAAAAAATCGTGCTTATTACTTAAATTTTTTATTCATTTTGACGAAATATTTAATTTTTTCAGATATTTTCAAATAATTAATAAATTATTTTTTTCTTAATACATTTAATAATGTTAAAAATAAATAAATAAATTATTATTATTAAATAATTAAAAATTAAATTAATATATAGTATTTTCTATAAATAAATAAATAAATTGTAAAGAATAAAAATTTGTTTAGCGCCATTATATTAGATTTAATATAATTAAGGTTTTAGAGGAAATAGGCGTGTAAGGATTTGTTGAAAAAAATTTTTAAAAACAATGTAGTTTATTTGAATCGCACAAGACATACACCCTATTTACTAGATTATAATTAGAAGTTCCTCGAGAAAGCTCGGTCGAAGATTGTCACAAGAGCTTTTTTGGCCGAACTCTGCTCAATGAATCCTCAACATCCTCATCATATTGCCTTTTTTTTTTACTGTCGACCCTCGGTTTAAAATTCTTCAGTTTAAAACCTATAAAAGTACCTTCTAAAATATTCCCTAATTCAGATTATTTCCACCGAATTATGAATATATATATTTTTTTTTTGCTAAATAGCAATTGTTTTATTTTTCAATAATTTGAATTTTTAATCATGTCCAAAATCACAGTTTTAATTAAATAAAAAAATAAAAAACACATAAAATTTCTAGGAATAAAGATTAAAATTTTTACTTTTAACCCTTTGAGGTACGATTTTTTAAATGCAAAAGGAAAATAATTTCTTTTATTATTAGAAATTTTATCATTCAAATAAATACAATTAAAAAAAAAATGTATTCAAAATTTATCTTTTTCTTAAAAAGTAATAAAAAAAAAATAGTTTTTCGCGGAACATCAAAAAGGAATTGAAATATAAAAATGTATTTTAGATCAAAAAAAAAATGATATAGAGAATATAAACATGCGGCAAAGGGTTAAAATGTCTTGTGAAAAATTTTAAAATTGAAAAGAAAAATATAAAGAAAACTATTTTTAAAATTTCATGAGTGACAATCTTTATTTTTTTTCGTATCGCAATTCAGATTTAGTAATATAGGAAATATTTTTATTACATCAGCTTAATTACTCTTTTTTGCCTCTATAATGATTTTCTTACTTCAGATACTATTTTTTTTTTTTTTTTTTTTATTAAAAATTTTCTTTTTTTGTTACCCTGTGAGAAATGTTAGAAATCGCGTAATTCATATAAACGATGGCTAAAAAATGTGACAAAAATTTTATATAAAGTTATTAGACAATATTTATGATATAGAAAATCTGTGCGATAATAATTATTGTTTTATGTTTTGTGAAAAAAAATCGTGTAACAAATAATAATAACAAAAAAAAAAAAATGTAGCCATCGTGTTTATTTTACACGAGAATTCCGCAAAAATTCTTTATTTCCCTATTAATGGGACAAGTATATATGTGTGTGTTTGTGTGTATCTTAATTCTACGTGACATGACAAGAAAATGAGAGATAAATAAAAGAAAACTCGGAACCAAGGTTCGCATTTAATGGTATCATTTCGTAGTTTTATTTCTCGAGTATACACCAATAAAAATGCCGGCACTCTTTAGTCTACCTATTCTGCTATTCAAGATTCGTTCATCCAACAAACGCTCCAGGCAGAAGAAAATTTTTCTTTCCACGCGCTGCGACAAAAAAAAAAGTTCAACGGATATTTCTCACTTTAGAAAATTTTTCAAAAGTTAAATTTTCATTATTTTTTGTATTTTTTTTTATTCTAGGGAAACATTTTTTTATTCGCAAAAAATTAAAATTTTTTTTTTCCCACTTAGAAAAATTTTCCGTTTTTTTATATTTTTTTTTATTATATAATTGTGTAAAATTTGAAAGCTTTCCTTAAAATTGATTTTTTTTATTGAGATTTTTTAAGATTTGAATTTTTTTTTTTGAAAAAGAACTTTTTTTAAGCCATGAAAGAAAAATTTCACCTGCAAGATAGCGTTAATAGAAATTAAGCCATTTATGGACGAATCCAAAATGGCTGTGAAACAACGATATTCGGTTTCGATGAGATGATACAATGATAAAATATGACGAGAAATGAATGTTGATTTTGAATTTATTAAAAATTCAATCTCGTCAAATTTTTTTTTTTTTTTTTGCGCTAGAGGGCAGTGCCTTTATGTACAATGTCGTATAAACGGGGCCTGGCATGTACATATATATATATATATATATACGAATTTGAGAATTATCTAACAAACTTTTAACTAGATAACGAGACTTTTTATCTAGAGTCGTACACGTCTAACACTGAAAACTAACTGATATGAGTTTGTATTTTTTTTTTTTTTCTTAAATTCATCATCATTATCGTCAGACACACGCGCGCTTAATACATCACATCAGGCATCGATTTTTTTTTTCAAACTATTTTGCACATTCACACAAAACATACTTGAAAACTTTCGTGCTCGAGTTTACGACCTTATTGCCTATATGTTTTATTTATTTTTATTTTTTTTTTTTTAGGAACAGTTTTCTTTGAAAACGTTTACAACGAGAAAAAAAACGGACCTCGATGGAACGTAAAAACAATAATATATCGCTAAGCAAATGAAAAAAAAAAAAAAACCTCAGTCTTGAGCGAGGAATATATATTTATATAAACAGAAACTCGCGAGTTTTTTTTTCTATTTTTATTATTATTATTATTTGCAGTTGGCGATTTTCCCAGAAGTGACTTTTTTTTTTTTTTGATATGTCGATTCAGGGAAAATCGATTTTGCGATTTTTCGCATCACTTGACAATAAATACGATCAACGAAGAGACAATAGTGGTAATGCGATCGGTACAGGGCGCCGACAAACTTTCGAGGATGTTAGAAAGTTTTTAAACTTCCTATTTTTATTACATAAAATCCTCTTTAACACGAGACGTAAAACTACATTATGCATAATGAAAAAAGTACACTTTTTTGTATTTTTATATTTAAAAAAAAAAAAAAAAAATTTCTAAATTTCCAACACTGATAAAAACAAAATTTTTATAATTTATTAACAAATTGTTTCAAATTTTTTATTTTTACTATTGTCACTAAAAAAAATATTTTTCTATTTTAAAAATTTCAAAACAAACAAATTTTTTTAAAAATAAAAATCACGTGTACTTTTTTTTATGCTATGCAAAATTGTTTTCTTCAATATTTTTTTTTTTCACGTAAATTTAACAAACAAAAAAATAATTATATATGAATGATAACGTTTGACGTATATCTTCATTCTATTTCGAGCGAAAATTTCTCCATTTTTTTTTTTTTCTAATAATTGACTTTTTAGAAAAATGTTTTTTTTTTTTTATTATGGAAAAGTCGCCCCGACCATTTATAAAATAGAGACAATAAACCTAGACAACTTTGGCATTTTCTTAAACGCTTAAAACATTCTTCGACAATAATAATAATAATAATAATAATAATAATTTAATATCAGAAAATTTATAAAATAATGTACTCGCCTAAATTCACTGCAATCGTAGTGATAATAGTGAAAATCGCAATAATAATAATAATTACAATATAATAATAATAATGACAATGGTAATAGGAATAAAGTTAAAAAAGTTGCTAATAAGATTTATAATAATAATAATATAATAATAATAATAATGATAATATAATAATAATAATAATAATGTAATAATAATATTACTAACATAATAATAATAATGACAATAATAATATTAGGTAATACCTAATATTAATAATAATCATTAATCAATAATCGTTGCGATACTCGCAATAATAATAGTTATGATACATTTTACACTCGATCAGAGTTAAAACTTACAAACTATGGAGCGTGTCTTTTTGAATCACTTTTTTTCGTGATAATATCTTCCTCCTTTTTTCTCACATTAAAAATCGAGTGGTCAAAACGCTCTTGAAAAAGAGAATATACACATACTTAATAGAGTTTTCGAGATCTCGATGTATTAATTATGTACACATGTTCGTCGCTCATCTGCCTTTTTCTTTTTAAGAAAATACTCAAGATAAAAAATTAAAAAAAAAAAAAAATTTGCAAGTACTTTAGATAAATGTGGCAGATATAAAATGTACAAAAAAAAATCTCGTCTTTTTTTAATACATACATTGATACCATGTATTAATTAAATAGTTAAATAAATAATCTTTAATAGATAATAAAAATCACTGTGTTGTAACTCCCTTTTCCCCCTATTTATATATTTATATTTATCTGCCCCCCCCTTTAGTATTTATATATTTATATTATATATATATATATAGCTATATACTTTGTTTTATTTATATATATATCGTTTTTTGTTTATATAATATATTCTTTTATTTTCATATTTATATCTCTTGTATTTATATATTTGCATTTGTATATGTAATCACGCTAGTATTTAAACGGTACTTCAATTAATTAGCGATAGACTTTAATTAGCTCGATTGAGACTCGCAAATGGTAACCATTCGTTTGCATTTGTGAATTAAGATTCACTTCCCACCCCTCGCTATACCCTTTGCAAAAAAGAAAATGTGACATTTTTAAAATGAGGAAGCCTTTTTTTCATTATTGAATTAAGACTAGAGAATTTGTTTTTTATTTTAATAATTTTTTTTTTACCAATTTTAACTCACAAAATATAGATATTGTAAAAGAAGAAAAATTTTTCCTTGATAACTTGCCTCATTGTTTACTTAGATACCACTTTTATTTAAATTTTAACGATCGCTGACGGTTGTATTATTTTTTTATGCCTGTTTTTAGGACCCAAATTAAGATAGGAAAAAAATATTACTGTGATTATTAAAATTTAGATTAAAAAAATGGTTAAGACTCAAATGATGTAGAAAGAAAACGATTATTAAAATTTATAATAAAAAATAAAGGCGGTACCTCTAATGAAAAACGTCACAAAAGGGTTTTTTTTTTTTTTTTTTGGTCAGTCTCGTCATAAGACTTCTTAATTTTAATTCCTGTCTTTTAAACTGGCCTTTTTTGCCTCAGCGAAGTGCTCTTGTGGCGTTAAAAGTCATATTTATGAACAATGTCACATTCCCAGTGAACGGAAGTTGAATTCAGTGCGACGACCTACCACTTCTCCTGATCTTTGGAAGGTGAATCTTTCAAAATTTTTCATGATGAATTTTATTTGAAAGTTTCTTGTCCTCCATAGAAGGTTCAGTACACCGAATAAGAGGACCGATGTGGCCAAAGTGTCGGGATTGGTGGCAGGCTTCCGTTCCAGGATCAAGTGTCCTTGGTGCTTAATGAGGAATCCTCATCTTGACTGCCCGGATAGGGTAGACCCATTTTTGAGCCTTGTTGAACAACAACGACGCACTTTCGCATATGTTTCTCCAATGTACTTGGTACGGAGAAGGGCATCTCGCAGAATCGACATTTGTATGTGTCCTTACCGTGCCTGCCGTGTGTTTTCATGTGCCTCGTGAGTTTTGAACTTTGTGCACAAGCATAGGAACATAGTTCACATTTATATGGTTTTTCACCTGTGTGCGATCTCCTGTGAACAGTGAGATTTGAACAATTTTTGAATACTTTGCCACAATATTCGCATGTGTCATTTCTACCACTGCGTTCCTTTTTTAGCAATGGACTCGGTAAGCCTTGAAGCGAGAGACTTGAAGTCGTTGCTTTGGTCGTCTTTCGAATATCGTTATTCTCCAAATAGTGATGACCTGTCATCCAAAGACCACCGAATTCAGGCGCTGTGGATCGATGAAATCCAGAGAAAATATTAGGCGTTGTGCCTAAATTATAATTCGTTGGCGAAAGTGCACTGTCCTTTTCTTTATTATTGTTTAAAGTATTCGTAAGGCTCGCTGGCGATTCTGTTTTAATGAAACCACGATTTAGGCCAGGCTCTTGAAGTGCTTGTCGATACGCCTCGGAATATTGACTTAGATTCCCTAAGCCAAATTTTTCAATGAAATCTCCTACTAAACTTGGTTTTTGTTCAATTCGTGGACCATTTTCCTCGCTACTTTGTCCTTGTGTTGTGCTTAAATCCTCGGGAGTATTTTCCTCAGCGTCATCTTGATCCTTGTCATTCTCATCGCCTTCGTCTAGATCCATATTTTCGTCACAACTACTTCCATCATCCGGAACTGTTTCCACACTTCCTTGTGGACTTGCCGGGGGATTTAGGGATTCCTGATGTTCTTTTCTCATATGTTTTCTTAGCTCGGAATAATTGGACAATTCCAATTCACAAACTTCACATCTTATTTGTGCGGTAGCTTTGGTTTCCTGATATTGATGACTCTCTTTTTCCTGATGACTTTTACGGTGCGAGATAAGATTTGACTGAAAACGAAATTTCTTATCACATGCCTCGCAACTGTAAACTGTTTCTGATGTATCGGTAATTATGGGAGTTGACGCAACTGGTGTACTTGTTTTTTCACTGTCGGTGGAATTATTGTTATTGTGATGTCCCACAGGACTTTGGGTATAGCATGGTGGTGAATTTTCTTTTTGATGATTGTGTGTTGAATTTGACAATGCGGGACTTGGTGGTTCAATTGTATGTGCTTGTGGAACGGTGGGTACCACTGATGAATTAAGATTTGCTACCGTATTATTAAGAGGCACTGCGCCTAAGGCCGGATTAGCGAGGTTCCTTAGACGCTCCGAGTAAAAATCCATATTCGTTTCTAAAATTTGTGGATGTCCCTGACTAGTGATACCTCGACTTTGCGCTAAATTTGCTAAATTCGCTAAATTTCTTGCATTGTTGAGTGTATCTAATGAACCTCTAAATTGTGAATCGCCTAAATTTAGTCCATCCATTCGACGGAGGGGATCTAGATTTTGGAGATTTCGAGTTGCTGTTTGTAGATCTTGAAGTCCTCGATAACCCACCATGTGTGCCATTAAATCCGGTGGATATAGTTGTGAATAACTTCGGTCTAGATGTTGTGTTGTGCTGTGAAGTCTTAGAAAACTAAGTGGATCTGCAACAAGAGTCGCTGATGTTTGTAATTGTTGTCGACTACCACTGCTACCACTGGTATTGGTACCGCCTGATGAATTTGCAGCTGATGAACTACCTGTCGATTTCCCGCTGATATTCAAATGATTTGGCGGACTTAAATGATGTGAGTGCGTTGGCGTTGGTGTCGTTGGACTTGGGGTTGGTGTATTTGAAGAGGAATTTGCTAGCGACGTTGAAGATGTGTAGAGTCTTGCTCCATGAAGTGTTTGCGCATGTTGTAACATCTCCCAAGCTGATGATAGACGTCGGGAGCATTGGGAACACTGCAACCATCTTGGCTCTAAAACAAAAAAAAAATTTCTCTTTGTTAAAAATAAATAATAAAAGAAGATAATTTTTGTTACGAATAAAATCATTTTCCCTTTGACCCTCGTTTTTTTTTTTATCGGTTTTGCAACGCCCTTAATTTTTTCCTATTACTTATTTCAATTTTGAATTCAAACCGCGAGGAGTCTGTGTCAAATTGACATAGAGCCCTTTTTTTTATGGGGAATGGTGGCTTAAAAATAATATCGGCGACGACAACGGAATTATATGTGAAAGAGGGGTTGAAACTGACCCTTAACGACTTGGCGTCCCTTGTGTTGAGAGTAGTTCAGCGGCACGGGTTTTGAATTTCAATGTTTTTAATCCGAAATATCAGATTTTTGGCCATTTTTCACGCCCCACGATATGATGATCGCCAACGATTTCGTGGGAGATTTTATTAATTCGAGACTTTCGCACCCCAAGGGGCCTTTTTTTTTTTGCAAGGAAAGAAAGAGAATACTCGCCATGTGTTTAAGCAACGACCCTCGCTTCCTAAGAATCATTGAGACAACCTCAAAACATATTTTGTTATAATATATTTGCGTGAGGGTTGTAACCGCGAATTTACAATCGTATTTCTAATACAATTTCTATTGCAATTTAAATTTATTTATATTAAAAGAAAAATATAAACAAAAATATATTCTTTAATTAGATTTCTTTTTTTTTTGTATTGGATTTAAAAAGAAAAACCTATATCATGGCATTCGAATGAGTGAGCGTTTAAAAAAGTTTTACGCAAATGAAAGTGAACGGAATTTCAAATGGATGATTAAGGACCGACAGACTAACGATGAAAAAACTTTGAAGCACAGACAGTATCCGAAGAGTCCTGAAAGATTAAAAAGTTCAGCGCTTCATTCTCTATCCTCCTCTCTTGTTTCCTTCGAGAAACGAGAAGGATATATATATATATATATAGTCTATATGTCGAAGACAAAGGATACTCGCAAAATAAAGCGTTCCTAATTAAAGGAAGAAGTAGAGAATTATAAAAAAGGAAGAGAAAAAAAATCTAAGGAAACTTTAACAAGACCGTGAAGTGTGGACGCTGCTCAATTTTCAAGACGGTATTCCCTATGGAGGAGAGGAGAGAGAGAGAGACTTGTGAAAACAATTGCAGTAAGTTTTGTTTAACGTTGCGCGTCAAGAATTTTTAAGAAACTTTTTTTTTTTTTTTTTTGCTATCGTGATTACAGAAGACTATTAAAATTCCATTATTGTTATACACGCGGCCTACGTGCTTTTAACAAGAGTAATAGTGGGCGAAAATTTCTTTTCTATTTTTCCTTGTTGTTATGACCTTTCACCAAACGATTATGACAGTATTTATATCGTATAATACTTATAACACGTGAAAGTTGCGATGTTCGACAATATTCATAGCATTATTGTGAGAAACTACGGGAAAAAAAATTTGTTTTTGTAGTTTCTACAACTAATTTTGGGAAATATACAAATCGGACTTCCATAAATTTTTTTCTGTTAACAGTCTAAATCTAAATTCCATATGCTAAAAAAAACTAAAGAAATTACAGTTGGATTTCTCAAAAATTTTTGCACTTTTTTATATAGGAAAACAGAATTTAATTTCATAAAACAACATTGGAAAGGAAGATGTTTAGTATCCACTAAATAATGTTGTAATTTCGATTCACAAAAGTCGAAAAATGGTGTTAATCTCTTTTTTAAATAACCGTAAGGGTAAAAAGTGACGGCTGTTAAATTTTTCACGAGTCATCGAAAGAGGCTCGTTTTGTAAATTTGATTTAAGGATTTAGAATGACCATAGAGGGATTATAAAAGTGGGAAAAGGAGGCGGGAGAAAAAAAAAATTATTGCCAGTCATTTCGAATCGAATTTTCAATATATGTCGGCACATATTGTTTTGCGCTTTCGTTGGTTAAAAAGTTTCTCTTCCCTTTTTTCTATGTGACGAAGTCATCTTTCTTTTCTTTTTTTTTTTCTTTACTCGCGGAAGTTGAAAATATGTCGAATTTTCCGGGAGGAAAAAAAAAGAAGAAGAAGAAAAACGGGACATAAGAAACCCGCAGGGGTAAGAGATAAGCAAGTGCTTGAGCATAATAAAGGTGTATCGATTCACTGTCCTTTGCGCGTATCTCTTTTCATATGCAAACCTCGTGGGTGGCCATCCGTTAGGATTATTTCCTCAGATTTCCGGCTATCTCTCAAACGCCCCCCCACCCCATTCTCGATCCCTAATCATTTTTATCACAAGTTTAAACATATTTTGTGTCTTACTTTTTGGAGTTGATTTTTAACACCCAAAATTTTATTCCGATAGACAAAATGTTTTTAAAATTTATGGTGAATTTTTGTTTTTGTTTTTAGGGTCGATATTTGAAATAAATCTTAATTTTTATTTTATTTGTTATAAAAGAAAAATTCTCGAAAATGTATAGATCTCTTTTCAAAAAACGAAGAATTGAGAATTCAAGAAAAGAATTCATTGTCATATATATATATATATTCTTGAGAAAATTTTGAACGTGTTCCATTGAAGGAAACGATGCGTTATGGATACGAAGCGAGTAGAAATGTCACGTCGACCATTATTGCTTGGCGATAGTGACCGAACGATTTTCCTCAGAAATTGCCCGTCAAATTGGCCCCGACGATTAGGAGCAAATCGTTCGGAAAGTCATTGTTTAAAAACGAACCCGAACCTTGGTCATCCTCAGGATACTTCCGTTTAACCCTTTCATGCTACGTTTCATCCCAATTATCATTTACCTTCAAATGTCACATTATTTCTCTTCTCGAAAAAAAGACATTCGCAAAAAAGAAATAGTTTTCCATTTTAAATTAATTTAAATATTGGATTACAATTTTTTTTTTTTTTTTTTACATTTTTCCTTTGCGGTAATTTGATTAAATTTCCATTTATAATATAGTATTACAGTATTGAAAAGGGCAATTTTTTTTCCTCAAAGAAGAATATCTTCTTTTTTTTTACCTATATATAAGGAATAAATTTTTTTCCCTTTTGAAATATATTTTTTTAATTTAGAATAAATCCTATATATATGTATATATAATGTTGATAATTCCATTAACCATGTCGATAAGATGCATTTTGGATTTGTGACGTCACAAAGGCCTTTAATCCAAAAGACCCATGTGACAATATTAAAATATCGATTGGACAACGTATGCGACGTATGCACTTTGTATCATAGGACTGGGGTTGCAGTTAAAAGGGGGCACAACGTGCATCCATTCAGGTAGACAATTTTGCGGCAGGATTTTTGTTCGAATTTAGTGAGGGTGAGTACAAGAGTTTTTGGCGGGGGAGAGAGAGAGAGAGAGAAACTAAAAAGTATATGAAAAAAAAATGAGAATAATTGAATACATAAAACTATATAATCTCGATCATTTTCTACATCGTTGATCATAATTTTTTGTATCGAATTTAATTTATTCTCAATTTTGAAAGAGAAATTTCATTAAATACTTTATGGTACTATTAAAATTATAATAATTAATTTTCCAATAAATCTTAGCTTTATTTTATTATTAATTTTAATCGAATAAATATTTATTTGTATTAGAGAAATATTTATTCGTATCAAAAAAAATATTTGATTCAAATTTCTTGGAATTGCGGTAAAGGCAAAAATTTGTACATAAAAAATTTTTTGAGGAAGAATGATGATGGTGATTTTTTAGTGTCAAATTTACATTTCAGGTTGAGGTGTTGAATGTCTAGAGTCAATAGACTGTGAATAGGAATATAAAATATAAAATTGTAAGAGGCATTTTGTTGCTTGACATTTACACCATAGAATTTTTGAGTAAAAATAGTTTATGGACCCCTACTGCGTGAGAGAAAGATGGAATAAAAAAAATTATAATGAAATTGCGGTACACCCTACATATATATATATATATATGAAAGTGTTGCACTCGGACTTATGGACAGAGATGATGTACTCCTTGTGGTCACTATATGGCACTTTGAGATTGGTCAGACCGCGCTTGAGGATCCTTTATGTCGCGCGTTACTTACACGCGTAACCGCAAAACTTGAAAAGGAAACGTATATATACATTCTGTGATAAATTTCTCGGTTTCGTCAGAATGGAACTTAGAAATAAAGAACGTGCGAAACATAAAGGAACTAAAATAAAGACAAAATATTTCAATAAAAATTAAAAATCTTGTGTAATTGTTTTGACATGTTCTATAACATTTTTGACATGTAGAAAATAAAAATTTTTCTGTCACAGAAAATAAAAAATTTTTATAAAAAAAAAACAGTTTGGACCTTAAGATCGGAGATATATATAGAGCCAATTCGCAAGCAATTCTGCGTTTGCCTTGGGCAATTCGGGAAAAGTTGAAATTTTGTGGTGTGGCGAGAAAAGAAGGGCAAGGATATATAACCCTGAAAAAAAACTTATCATCTCGTTCGAGAATTAATATTCCAGACAAACGTGACAGACAGATCAAATCTGCATCTCTCCAAGAGTCAGCAAAGGTGTCAATTTCAACGGATTACCCTTCCCTCGTATTTTTCCCCTTTAGTATATATATATATGACAAAATATTTCCTTTCCTTTTTCTCTCTTGGTTAATAATATTCCAACAAAGAGGAAATTATTTTCTTTTATCAAATATTAACTAAGTTTTTTTTTTTAACAATTCCTATACAAAAAAAACGCTGGATAAATTTTGTTGCGGGTAATTTTAACCATTAGCCCTCAACTAGGATAAAATTTGTTGCAGTTAATTTTTATACCGATTTTGGAGTAAAAATTCTACTTTTTTGTGTTCTGCTGATTGGTTAATAATAAATTCCAATGATTTTTTATCAAATTTTAATTTTTATACTGTTAGATGCTAAAAAATTATGTTTAGCCTATTTGTAGATTATGGTGACTGGCAGAACTAGTTGCGTACAAAGATGCGCAGAAGTCAGAATTCAGCGGTCTGAGAGACCGCTGTGGTAGTTTAAGGGTCAATAAATTTTTTTTTTAACAATTGCATCCAAAAGAAGTGAATTAAATGCATTTCTTTAAAAAAATATTTTCTCCACTGTAAACATTAGAATAATTATATATAATTAATTCAAAGGAAAAGCGATTTTCTATCCGAGAACGCAGCTGTATTCTCTGATCCCTAGTTTGAAAGACATTTTCTCGCAAACTCATCCCTTCCTGGAGGTTTTCTTTGTCTCTTTCTCTCTCTCTCTCTCACTCTCTTGTCTTGAGGGTCTATACTCCTGGCAGGAAGAAACGGTTAATTCGGGTGGTCTTAATTGCTTACGTCGTAGAGATGGCTTCTATTTCACACACAGATTTTAGTTGAGCTGTGTATGTGTGTGTAGTAACACATCTCTTAAAAGTTTCATCACGGTCGGTGGCTCTGGTAACTATCCTGTACCTTTAAAAGCTCGTGCCGGATTTAACCCTTCAACGAAAAGAACGTGCTCTCTCGTGTACGTTCACAACATTGTAGTATATCTGATGCCTCCCTTTCGACGCGTTTTTGTCACTTTTTTTTCTCTCCACTCTCCTGTCCCCCCCACACCCCTCCCCCTGTTCAGTAGCCACTGCCACGTCCAAAAAGCCCAATTAGAATCGTCCTATTGTTTGGCCACGTGGTCTGCACGAGCCGGTTATTTCTTCTCTTCCCCCCGTTCCCCCCTCTTTGGGAATCGTTACCGCACAGAGACTCAACTCTCTTCAATATCGCAGGTAAAAGCACGTACCGGTCACGAGACTAATTTTACAGAGGGGATGTTTTTGACATCTAAAAATGTTTTGAAAAAAAAATTTACATTTTTAATTTAAACTATTTTTTTTGTCTTATAACACAATCGGAAAATGATCGCAATGGGAAAAATACCATTCGCGTATTAATGGCCCAATAATGGCACCCAATAATGGACCATTATTGGTAAAGTCATGGGCTGTCCACGCCGATGCCAATGATTGGCAACCATCATTGGCAAATTATTGGCAACCAATAATTAGCCAATATTAAAAATTTTAATAATAATTAAAAAAATCAATAATTTAAAAAAAAATTTATTTTTATTATTTTTTAATAGTTATTATTATTATTAGTTTATTTTTAATAATTAAATCCAATAAATAGGAGAGACATCGGGCAGAAAAAAATTTCGACAAGAAAAAAATTATCGATCACTATGCTTATATACCAATCTAATGGCACCTCAACTGCGAGAAACAGTTATGATGTTCGCCCTCCCTGTGGCGTTGAGTGAACTAAAGTCCAGAGCTGAGCCATCAGCGCAGCGCGGGTACATTTGAAAAATTTGATTTTATTAGATATTTTATTTTATTTTAAATATGACAAATAATTAACTTAATAAATAATTAATGTCATAAATAATTATTAATAACATAATGTCATACTTAATAATTCGTTAATTATAAAATAAAATATCTAATAAAATCAAATTTTTCAAATGTTCCCGCGCTGCGCTGATGGTTCAGCTCTGGACTTTAGTTCGCTCAACGCCACAGGGAGGGCGAACATCATAACTGTTTCTCGCAGTTGAGGTGCCATTAGATTGGTATAAGCAGTGATCGATAATTTTTTTCTGTCCGATGTCTCTCCTATTTATTAGATTTGAGACAAACTCTTTTTTGGAAGAAATGGTTTCACTAATACTTTGATGACCATTGTTTTAATTTAATTATTAAAAATAAAATAATAATAATAATAACTATTAAAAAATAATAAAAATTTTTTTTAAATTATTGATTTTTTAAATTATTATTAAAATTTTTAATATTGGCTAATTATTGGTTGCCAATAATTTGCAAATGATGGTTGCCAATCATTGGCATCGGCGTGGACAGCCCATGACTTTAACAATAATGGTCCATTATTGGGTGCCAATGGTTTTTTCATTGGCTCCCATCATTGGGCCAATTAATACGCCAATGGTTACTCGTGGCAGCTTCCCATTGGGATGGTATACACACAGAAAAATAGTATATTTCTCTTGCAGCCTAATATTTATTTATTTGATTCAAATAAATTTCTATTTATATCAAATATGTAAATAAAATAAAAATAATGTTAAAAAAACTTCCAATTGAGTTTGAAAAAAAAAAATCAAAAATTTTTGAAATGAAATATTAATAGATTTTTTAGTGCGATGAAAAAATACCGGAAAGTTTAGTTTGAAAACTCGGTGAACCACATCCTGATAACACCCGCGCGTAAACCCCTTTGATATAGCGAGTGACAATATATGTGTGTGCAAGAGGAGGGGGGGGGCAAAAAGGGGGGCACAGCACAACCAGATCACCCCAGTGTCGAACGGGGTGCTTTAAATTCAAAAATCAAATCCCCTAGGGGCATTGTTCACATTCGTCCAGCCACGACAAGCATCGCGTGTGTAACGCTCCTGCGTATACACAGATGTATATTTAGAAAAAAAAATCTCTATTTTTTTCCATCCTTTTAACGGTTCACTTTCCCAAAATACATATATATGTATTTATATATATATATGATTCAGGTTTTTGACTGATGCGTTGACTTTTATACGCTTTCGATTTAAAACCAATTACATTTACGGTCACGCAAATATAGATATACATTTTGATATTTCAAATAAATTGAAAAATAAATATTGATGTTTAATAAAGTGCAATCGAGGAGAGATCATATTTCACACTTTTCGAATATTAATAAATAAAAAAACGAGATGCTACCCCTGTACCCCAACTTCCCATTTTTCGTTTGATAAACCGAATTTTAATATTTTTCATTAAAAATAATATTCGTTAGTTTATTTCGTTCACCTATTCGATTAGTTTTGAGGTTATCTTTTCCCCTTGGTCTAAGAGAGCTTATAACATTAGATTTTTGAGGTTATTTTCTCTTCTAAGCTTTAAATTTTGAGGTTATGTTTTCTCTAGGTCTAATACCTTATAATAACATTTGATTTTTTAGTTTACTTCTCTTCTTAGCTTTGAATTTTGAGGTTATGTTTTCCTCTAGGTCTTATAACATTTGATATTTGAGGTTATTTCCTCCTTTTGTCTTCAAATTTCGAGGTTTTTTCTTATAAGGATATCTTATACGATTTAATTTTTAAGGTTATTTTCTCCTCATAGCTTCGAATTTTGAGGTTATGTTTTCCCCTTGATCTAATACCATATAACATTTGATTTTTAAGGTTATTCTCTCCGCCTAGTTTCGAATTTAAAGGTTATATTTCCTTCCATTTGAAGGTTATGTTATTAATTTTCAGATTATTATATGTTTATTGTCAGTTTTTGAGCATAAAAAAGAGAAAACTTACCGGAATTGACTGTGTTTGTATCAGCGTCAACGGATTCAGTTTTTGGTTTTTTGGGTAAATCGTCCTTCTCCTCCTCAGAGACTTCAGTTCGTCTCTTTGGCGTTGAACTGGCACTGGCCCTAAGCTCAATGGGACTAACGGCATCGGGCCCAGAACCCTGTGGTGTTGGTGGACTTTCAATTCTATTAACACGTTTATTAATTGGCGCCGAAATACTTGGCACTGATTTTAATTTTTCCTGATCCAAACTCTTTAGTGCCAATGCATCCTCAGGATCTGAATCCTCAGGTGCTGCCGCAGGCGGTGGACTATGACATCCCTGAAGTGTACTACGACAATGATTCACCTTGTGTTCGATAAATCGTACAATCTCACCCAATGGGAATGACGCTCTACAGCCTCCACATTGGACCGTGTCAGGCGTGCTGCCCCCTTGTGAGGTTTCCGCTGTAATCAGAAAATATTAATTTATTTAATTGGGAAAATTTATTTTGGAAATAAAAATATTAAAATTTCTAACTCTGGCGGGGATCGAACACCTTGACTTAAGGCATGAAAGTTCAATGCACTAACCACTAGCCTACGCTGACAATATTGGAAAATGCCTAATTTCAAAATTATTTAGATATTAATAAATAATTTATTGCAATCGGAATTAAAATTTTAATAACCAAAATTCAAAATCTTAATCACTTTTCTGATTCATGAATGTAAAGACATAATAGCGCTAAGAAAATAAAAGATTCAGTGTTGTAGTTTGCGTAGCCTAGTGGTTAATGCGTTCGGCTTCAAATCCGTAGGTCAGAGGTTCGATTCCCCTCATCGATCAGTTTTATTTATTTAATAGATTTTCGTTTTTTCAAGATTCTGTGAATAAATTGTGTAAAAATTATACAGTATTGGTCAGTACTGGGCCAATACAGTTGACAATTTCTGGTACGGTATGGTAAAAAATACCAAAATTAATCAGAAACCAGAACGTATTTCTGGGTAAGAGTGTAAAATCGTAAAATATGAAGAACAGACCAAGAGGGTTGAATAATAATGATTTGTCTCATGGAGAAAGAAGATAGGAAGACAATTTCGAGTTTTGTTGTTTTCGCGGTCCTTGGCAGCCCATTTGGACAGGATATAAGCTATATATATATATAGTGTATAAACTCTTGCTGCGGGGAAAAAAGATCAATATATGAACTCCTGCCAATCTCTATGTTAATGCCCCCCCTCCCCCCACATATATATTGTGAGAATATAGGCGACACTGCCAGAAGCTTTCTCTCTCTGTGAAGGACCCCTAAAAGTGAATTGTTACGTCTGCGGGTGACCTCGGGACCTCTCCTTGCGGCCGAATGTCGTACTAGTGAATTATAAGTCCTGTTAAGTCCTTTCCAAGACTTTGACTTTACCGCATCCGTCCCCAAATTAGAGCAATAAACGACCACCAGAATTCTATTCGCAAATTAATAAATAGGGACATTTGTTTCTCCCTCCCTCTATCTCATATATATAAGTAAAATTCAAGTAACCTATTACATTCCTTCCGCCAACATAAATTATGACAAAATTTTTTTTTTTTAACTTATTGTTCTTAATTTTATTTTTACTTTTATTTAATTGCTTTTAATTTTATTTTTACATACGTAATTTTTTTTTGTTCTTACAAAATCAATTACTTTTATCACAGAGTTTTAACATCGAAATCAGTATATTTAATCAAAATTAATTTTACAAGGGATTAATTGAAAAAGAAGAATAAATATTTGTTAATCGAAATAAAAAAAAAAGAGAAAAAAAGCTCCCTTGGAGAAAAGAAGGATCCGCCAGTTGCAAATGGAGTTTTCCATCGGCTTAAGTAAATAAAACTCGCACTTTTCTCATTTCACCCCTCTGGAGAGAATTTTATTCGTGGACCCTTCGCCTCTGGTTTTACAGTTCATGTTTATATCGAGTAGTTCGATTCGTTCTGGGCGGAGTTAGAAGCTTGACCATTGGCCATCGCGCAAACTCAAAATCAAGCCCCACCTTTCACAGGTTAGCACACCTTTTTTTTTCTTTTTTTTTTTTTAATATTACTTTACCAACGACGAAGGGTTTTCCGGAGGGGAAAAATATGTATCTAAAGTGAATACAGATAAATCTTTAACATTGCGAATTTGCGACTATTACTGTCTAAATTTGAATTAGTAACAATGTTTACTAATTTAAATTAGTGACTCACTTTTTGCTTTAGAATTAGTTAAATTTTACTAATTGTTAGTAAAAGTTACTAATAATTAGTGAAATTTTACTAATTGAGAGACAAAAAGTGAGCCACTAATTCAAATTAGTAAACTTTTTTACTAATTCAGATATAGAAAGTAAAAAGTGGTAATAATTACAATTTAGTTGATTCAAATAATCTGTTTTTTAACTATTATTAAATAAATATTTATTTGTATATTAAATAACTATTGAGTTAAGTAAATATGATTTAAATTCTTTCAATTTGAATTAGTTAAAAATAACTAAATTATTAGTTAAATTTACTTTTTGGTTATGTTAACGTAACTAATTGAATTAGTCAAATTTAACTTTTTTTCAGTTATTTCTAGAATAAAAATTAGTATTTTTATTCAGTTTTATCAATTAGTAAAAAATAACTAATTTTACATTGAAAAATAACTAAAAAGAAAAATCTGAATAATTGAATTAGTTATCAGTAATTTTAGTTTATTTTGACATAACCTAAAAGTGAATTTAACTAATAATTATAGTAGCTTTTGCACTAATTGATTAGCAGAAATATTACTATTTGACTCAAATGAATCGCACTTCAGTAACATTTTCACTGAAATTCAGTTAAATTTCACTAAAAATCAATCGAATTATTACTAATTAAAACAGTTAAATCTGCATTATCATTAATCGGTAAAACAGAATTACCTTTTTCAATCAGTAAAGTAGAATTCTTCTAATTTTCAGTGAAATATCACTAAATTTTAGTCAAATTTGACTCAGTGAAAATCTTAAGGAATAGATTCAGTTTATAAATTCCATCAATAAAATGTCACTGATTCAAATTTAAAGACTAGGAAAAAAATCAAAATCACCAATTTTTTCAACATAACTAAAAACTCTTATAGAAAAAGATAAAGTAGAAAAAGATATTCAATTCCCGTTTTTCAAAAAAAAAAAACTTGCACAATTAACCGGAAGTAAATGACGCAAAGATCCCGCACCTTTTCTTCAATGAATCTATTCTTCGGAAATCGAAGATTGTAATCTGCATATATATATACATGTATGACAGAAATTTTTTTTTCACCAGAAATGGTGATTGAAAAAAAAGTATATGAAAAATGAAAAAAATATCGAGAAAAGGTAAAACTAAAAAAAAAAAAAAAGAATATTGTAACCCTGAGAGGGGTAAATGCGGGACCAAGAAAAAAAATGCAGAGAGAGAGAAGAGTATAATCTCAATGGACCTCGGGGTCCGTTATTTCGCCTACGATTGAAAAGCGCTCGGTTAGAAACAAGAGACGCGCGACCGGTCGTTAGCGACAATAGGCTTTTGTTTTTTCGGGGCAGATGTTAGTCCAAAAATTCATACTTGAACCCGGCGTTAGGTACTGGTTCAACGTGTCAGGTTTGCCAACCAACATCATCCAAACACTCATCGAAGGGTGAAAAAGAGATGTGTGTGGCTCGTGTCCTTTTATATAATATTTATAAAAGAATCATCACACTAAAATCAGTTTCTTCATTAATTTTTATTTCCACAAACAAATTTTTTATTTTCAATAATTTTAATTGATTATAATTTCTAACATAATTTTTTATTTTTTATTTATTAATTTAATAAAATATTTTTGTCATTATTTAGAAAAGTAGAGAAAATAATATTTTTAGCACAATATTGTGGAAATGAAAGGACGATATTACCGCGGATAAGATCGTGAAAAGTGGAATAATATTGGAGAAGTACCGAATTAAATAAGAAAGTGATTCTGGATATTAGGATCGACGAACGATATATATATGATAGAAATCAAGTGGGTTGGGTACTTTATCCAAGTAGAGAGATAACATAAAAATACAATATTACCCCACCGAACATATATATATAGTTGGATTGCTTACAAATTGGCCCATACATCCGTAATGTGTATCGCTGCTATAACTGGGTTGAATCTATACGCAATTGCTTCCAGTTGTTTCGATAATTTTCATCCACATAGTTAATCTATATCAAAGTATATATATATATATATAGTGCGACAGTTAATTCACACCTATATAGTTGATATTATTCGCGAAATCTCGAGGGAAGAGCGTATATAAGGTCGTTACCCTTCTGGTTTAATCTCGTCTTTATCACCAAATCAGGATATTCTTAGACTCTCATCGATGCAGAATCCAGACCCCCCCCCACCAACGGAGAATGAAATAAAAAATTTAATGAAACCACCTCACATTGTATTTTTAGTCATATCTCGTGTCATTTTGTAAAAAAGATATTATATCGATATTTATTTTTGATCATTTGTTCCAATGAATATTAGAATTTCATTATTTTTTAATATATTTAATTATAAATAATATTAGATTTTAAATTATATGTTTATTTATAAAGATTAATTGGATTAATTAATTAATTAGGATATTTTAAGGTATTTCCGGATATACTTTACGATATTTTGGATAATTTATGTTACTTCAGATAATTTAAATACTTAGTATTTCATATTTCACAATAATACTTCAGATAATTCAGGTTACTTAAGATAATTCAGGTTACTTAAGATAATTTACGTTATTTTGGATAGTTCAGATAATTCAGGATACTTCAGAAAATACGAGATACTTCATTTAATTCAAAATACTTCAAGATAATTTGGAATATTTCAAAATAACTATGCAGTACTTTAAGGTATTTCCGGATATTTCACGATACTTCAGATCATTTACGATATTTTAGATAATTCAGGATACTTCAGATAATTTTCATTACTTTAGATAATTCAGGATACTTCAGATAATTTTAATTACTTTAGATAATTCAGGATTCTTTAGATAATTCTGGATACTTCAGATAATTCGAGATACTTCAATTAATTCAAAATAATTCAAGATAATTTTGAATATTTCAAAATAATTTATAGCACTTCATGGTACTTCAGGATATTTCACAATATACTTCAGAAAATTCAGGATACTTCAGATAATTCAATTCGTTTTAGATAATTCAGATAATATTTAAGATAATGTAGGGATATTTCAATATATATATTTAAGATTATTCACTGTACTTTAAAGTATACTTCAAGATATTTCAGGATATACTTCAGATAATTCACGTTACTTTAGATAATTTTAAGTTACTTTAGGTAATTTGGGATACTTCAGATAATTCAGGATACTTCTAGATAATTTGTATATTTTAGGACAATTCTTAGTACTTCAAGGTA